GTACTGTAAGTCTTTGTTCAAGACATATAATAGCTGCTTGGATGCAAAATGATTTTCTGAAAAATCGGCGAATAAAGTATTATGATATCGTAACTAGAGTTGTATCCTGTAACTAGCTATGTATGAAGATACAGGAAGTTGCTAACACGAATCATTGCTCAGTCTAGATCGCTGGAAATAAGAGAGAAATAAGCTTCAATGTCTCCAGTTACCTCCATCAACCTGAAATATAGAATCTGGTGTTTCCAGTTACTCATTATATGGTTATGAAGGACTTAAGCCCTGGGAAATCAACATGTATTCACAAACAATAACTAACAAGTTCTCTTCTACCAAATAACATTTTCTCCACTTACCTGTATGTTAATTACAAATACATTCCACCAGTTTGCCAAAGTTTTGTTTAAGTGGAGAAAAATTGTTTTTAGTCTTTTTCAATATGTTTAGAATGATTCAAGTCAGTGAGATGTTCTTTCCCTGAATCTGTCACACAGGCAGAGAAGGAGAGTCCAGCACTGGCAGTAAACAGGATAGTACAGCCCAACGTTTTGGGCTGAGCGAGTAGCACGCAGCACAGCCAGGGTAGCGATACATTATGAAAGAATAGCTGCACTAGTGAGATTCTTCGATGGAAAGAAAGGACTTTTACACACAAAAGACAGGGTATAGTCTCTCTGGTGTTACCCTGTTATTGTCTTAAAAGTCCTCCTTGAAATTTTTAGGGGTTAATGTCCTTCGCATCGAGGCACATTCTGTCAGTTTTCAGGAAGCTCTGAATTTATAGAACCTAATCCGTGTTTAACATTGACAGGTTTTTTCATTGTTATTTTGTTGACTTGGGAGTAAATGTGGAAAGGGTATATAGATATTAAATGGGGTTTGAGAAGTGAAAAATCATCATTTCTTTGGATATAAGGACAATGATGATACACATTGTTTTTACTTAGCTATTCCTGTACAGCAGCATTTCTTATATCTTGAGAATATTCTCAGCCCCCTCTGAGCTTTATTGGGGGTGCAACACCCCAATATCCCCGTAGTGCCGAAACCATTTATGCTGCCTTCAGCCCTTGACCTACAGAGTGTTGTAACACTGGTAGGACCTTGCACTCCAGGTGGCACAAGAGAGTACATCTTCAGGACATCAAAGACTGCACACTGACTCAAGAATGATATCAGAACTGAAAGGGCAAGACGGGGGGTTTTTACGGAACAGAGATGTTTTAGAAGATCTAAGTGAGGTTTCTGAGACTCAGAAAGGGATTAACATGCACAAATTGAAAATGAAGTGCAGTTGCGTGCAGGAATGAAGGCAGGAGGCTCTTCTATACACAAAAGTGTTACGGATTGCCAGATTCCATCATGAGTCCTGTCGCTGGTGGCTTTCAGGATGGCTCTTAATAGGGTTAGATGAACAGATTGAGTTAAATAGCATCTTCTCATCTCTGAGCTTACAGTACACTCTTTTGGTTGATCTTTTTTGTGAAGTTCTTAGCTTTCTTCAAAGCAGCACGGAACTTGGTATATATGAAGGTGGTGTTCAAACATCTCTAGATTTTAAATGACAGCCTAAAAATGTGATTGTGCTTTTTTTTATTTCAGTTCATATTTTGAGGTGGGAGAATCTTCCCTTTTGAACAGAGCCTCTGTGAACACTCTGTGGCACGGAATAGTAGCGCAAATGTTATCACCTCAGAAATCACACTGTTTAAGTCAGTTTAACTGTTCTGACTCTTTGAGAAGAGTCCTATTCCAAATGGCAACTTTATAGCCCAAGGGTTTGAATTTTAATGAGTTTTCTATAGTTTTAACTTTTTTTGTTTTAGTTTACTTACAGTCCACTAGAATGTAGTCAATTGTACTATTAATCAACATGAACAGCTGATGCAACAGGTCTTTATATACAGTACAGTATTAAGGCCACAATAACAGAGCCACTACAAAAATAGCTTTTAAGGCCAGCAGAACAGGAGAATTGACATCAGAGTGTGTCTAATCACAGTTTTTTGGATCTTCCAAGGACGTTCTCAGACAGAGATTCTTCACAGCACAATAAGACACTAATCTGGGGGAAGTATGCAAATAAGGATGTTGAAGACAACATACTGTACAGTAGGTGTCCTAGCATTTTCTAAAGCCTCTCAAAAAAGGGCTTGCAACTTGTCATATCAGTAATATTTCAGTACAAAGCTATAGTAATGTACTAGCCAGTTATAACCAGGTTAGCCATCTTACTCTTTATGGAGCTACAACACATCTATAAAATGTGTATTATTCTTATTATTATTATGATTACCATTATTATTATTATTATTATGAGCATGAACATCATTGTCCTCCAATTCTGGGAGAGCTGAAACCTACCCTATCCTGGCAAGCAACGGGCACGAGGAAAAGTATACACTCTGGATAGGATGCCAGTCTATAATAATAATTATAATTGCTTACACTTATATAGCGCTTTTCAGGACACTCCACTCAAAGCGCTTTACAGGTAATGGGGACTCCCCTCCACCACCACCAAAGTGCAGCATCCACCTGGATGATGCGACGGCAGCCATAGTGCACCAGAACGCTCCCCACACACCAGCTATCAGTGGGGAGGAGAGCAGAGTAATGTAGCCAATTCATAGATGGGGATTATTAGGAGATCGTGATTGATAAGGGCCAATGGGAAATTTGGCCAGGATGCCGGGGTTACACCCCTACACTTTTTGAGAAACGCCCTGGGTTTTTTAATGACCACAGAGAGTCAGGACCTCGGTTTTACGTCTCATCCGAAGGACGGAAAACATATACATAGCAGAGGATGGTATGTACATACACCCAAACCAGGACCAATTCTCCACCAGTCTTCAATGATGAGCTCATTGCTTTCTACATCCTGTCTTTTATTGGGCTTGTTCTCATATTCCAGCTTCCCCTGCCACTCCTAAGCAAGGCTCCGCAGTCTAATAAATTGTTTTTCTTTTTTCTTTACAGCATGGAACTTTCCTGTTAAATTATCCATAATCTTCTCTTTTGTTCATTGCAGACACAATCTGACGTATTCTAAATGAGTAGTACAAAATTATAATGATTTATACTCTAGCATATACAAACTGGTAATAAAGAAGTTGAGGACACTGGTCTTGAGTATGTTCTTAGGGTTGTTTATTATTTTGACTGTAGCACTCCCAAATATTGAATATGAACATTTCATAATCACAGCTCTGGGCACTTTTTCTCCGATGCATGGGGATTGTGGCCTCTTAATGAAGACAGGCAGTTCAATATTGATTTTAATTAAGTAATTATGAAGCCATTAGGTTTTGGTTTTCTATGCCTTGTGATTTGGATTTTATGTAAAATAGGTATATTTATATGAATTATGCATTATATTACTTCAACGTCAAAGTCTGTATCTTTGCCTACACATTCAGATAGTGTGCACTGTCCAGTCTGATTGAAATCTCTCACTAGCTTTGTCTTCCACACTGAACGTTATGAAGTGTTTCCTTTCTCTCTCACTCTTAGAGCTGAGCATACAGGCAAATTGCTTTTTCTTTTGTCTCTCTGCAGCATGAAATAGAATGTATATTGAATAACTTCCTTCTCTCTCAAGCCCCTTGCTCTCTGTCGATATATAATTGCCAAAGTTATTAGTATGTTGTGACTTATTCTTGTCTTATGCATTATGGATTTTACTGCATGCAATGTTACAGCACAGAGCAATTATAACTAACTGGAGTATTTTATATGTGTTTTGTGGTTCACTCAATTTGGAGCCACCCTCTATCACTAAGAAGTGAGTGAATCTTTGCTCTGATGCTGTAAATACAAATGATAACTGTGATTAATGACTGTGTTGTTGTTATTTCATATTTTTCATGGTTTGTTACCAATAGTTATAGTTTTCTGTGATTTTTCTGTCCATTGCAGAAAACCTGTATTACTATGTAATGAACGACCATATGTGCAGCATTACAGTATATTTCACTTATCAGGGGCTTGGTCTCTCTGTGCTGTGTGTTATAATGTATTAAGGGGCATTGCTGTACAGTGACTGTCTCTTTGTGGTGGTTGGTTACAGACACAGACTATATCAGCGTGGAGGAACAGCAGAAGGTGGAGCAGATGCTGGCCTTTCTGACAGAAGAGTCCAAGCAGGCAGCAGCCAGCGCAGCAGTGAGTGGGGACCGGTGTCAGGGCGGAGTCAAAGCCATTGCAACCAGTAGAGAAGGCTCAGAGGAAGGTTCAGACCAGCAGTGACCAAAAGAGACACACCCATTGAGGCTAAGAGGCTGTGGAACATTCTAAAGACACAATGACCATTGTCGTGAGGAGAGGGCTGATAAACAGACACTATTATTGAAACCAGTGAAATTCACAGTTGAAGTACAAAAATGACCTCACTTACATGCATTTCCATACGATACCTCAGGCTGTCTTGGTAGACCCTCTAATGAAACTTATCTAAAAAATAGGAGATCAGTACAAGAGTGCTAGTTAGGGCTTTTAAGAGTATGTTCATTATCTTCTGCAGATGCCTTCTTTTGCCATATAACATCACTCAAAGAGAACCATTTGTGCTTAATTTAGGTTCACACATGGCAGTATATTGAGTGTGTATTATTTTCTGTTTTTCAAAGAATATATCCAAAAACACAGCTGCAGGAGCACCTTTTTACATGAAAAAATTGTAAATACTTTAATATTGTACGGTAATATCAGACTCCTTTTGAATGTGAGGCACAAAATATTTAAGAATAATGGCAGTATAATTTGGTTAAAGATCACTGGAATATTTCAGGATGCAGGTGAAAGAACTCTAATACACCAGAGTTGAGAATGTGGGTTTGGGGAACTGAGAATATGCCTTTGATTACAATGCTTAAGTCAGTATAGATTGTTACATGTTTTAATTGCAACTAGAGTAATGACTAATAATCCTAAATTTAATAACATCTAGTGAAAAAGGGATTAGAGATTGCATTTCCTGCAATGTTCTGGTGGCATTAATGGTGTTCTTGAGACATTCACTCAGAACGATAGATAGAATGTAGAGTCAGGGACTTTTAATGGTTTCTTGTTTGAATTTCTTATATACGGATCTGTTTCTGAAAAGAGAAAAATATGCTGTTTTATCAACAAATAGCTAAAAAGAGTTTTTGAATGTAGCAGTGGTGTAGTTAGATGTCCAGTACTTTATTGTCATGCATTTTAAAATGTTTGGTTCATGACAAGGATATACCTTGTCAACAAGGTATGTTATCTCCAGCGTGCTGGTTAAATACAGTATCATACGCTTATACAATAAGCTTCCCTTTTAATTCAGGTGGTAAAGTCGCTTCTCAGTTCTTGACCTGCTCTTAGTATGTGCAGTAGGGCTGATGGAGCAGAAGGGTTGTTGTGTGTCACACGGGTGGGGGCTGCACTTCAGTGATGGTTAAAATGGGTCCCCTCATTTCTGTAAAGCAGATAAGGATCCTTTATGATGAAAAGTGCTGTATAAATCCAAGGAATCATTATGATTAGGTGGCATGGTGGTACAATGGTTACCATTGCTGTCTCACAGTGCTGGGGCCCTGGTTCAATCACAGACCTGGTATCTATCTTGCTATCTGGTAGTTTGAAGTTTGTATGTTCTCCTCCAGTCCCAAAACATACTGGAAGGTCACTTGGCTTCTGGGAAAACTGGCCTTGGCCTGAGTGTGTGCGTGTTTGTGTGCACCTTGTGATGGACTGATATCCAGTCCAGGGTGTTCCAACCTTGCTCCTGTTGCTTGCCAGGATAGACTCCAGCTCCCCTGTGACCCAGAATTGGAAAAATTGATTAGAAAATGGATGGATAGATGGATAGGTAGTTGAAATTGTAATAAGAATAGCAACAGTAGCAGTTAATGTACTGTAGCAGCAGTACCATCAACATTAATGTTATATTAACATTTGGACTATAGATTATTTTCGAAGGTTTCTATTTTTCAAACAGATTTTGAAAATGTGTCTTATTGGGGGAATTTTTCCTTGTCCTGGAGAACCTCACAGCAATATTATACTCTTATTGGATTTCCAGTGGGAATTAGCAAGTTAATACAGCAAGACGCAGAGTCGGTAAACTCCCCAAACATATGGGTTACCATACAGATCAGGCTGCGCGCCGATTTAATAAGATGGGTCACGCCGAGACCTTTTTCAAGTCCTCTTTATTAAATCATAATAGTGTTCGTAAACCTGTCTGGCTGCCCAGTAGCAGAGAATCTAGTTAGATCATTTTTTGCCCTGTATCAGTTTGAACAAGTTGCCAACAGCAACCACTTTGAACAGCTTTGACAACTACCCAGGCAACCTGAGCCTTGCCAAACCATTCAGACCATTCACAGGCAGTAGGAAGGGAGAGCTGAGCTGTCTGGCCCAGGTAATGTGCTGTTTAAACTGCAGTGAAGTGGCGGATGATGACTGGTAATTGCTCTGCCCAGGACTGACCTTTACTATCCTCGTGTGAAGTACAAAGCTTTCATCAGCGCTTATTGTATTTCCATTAGCGAACCTTTTCCCATTTGTCAAGCTTGCACTGTAAACTCTCTTGGAAAAAACCTCCTAGACAAGGCCTTTGCCTTTTCACCTGTCACTTGTGAATCCTGAGTTGATGCTAAAGCTCTTGACATATAGGTTGTAATTAATGGCTGTGATCACAGATGTATAATGATAAAATGTATACTGCAAAAAATAATTATTTTTTTTTGTTGCTAAAATAATTCAAAAGAATCTCGGTCTCCTCAAGGGCAGAGCTCTTTTTGAGCTCTTTGAACTCACTAAGCACCATGCTAAGCCCTCCACAATTACCTGTATCTTTTCTTAAAAACCATTGCCTTTGGAGAGCAAAAATTACACCTATCTTACGCAACTCTAAATCCCCTATAACTGTCAGGATTTAAAGGGATTAGATATGAGCTTCATTCATTTTCACAGGGATTTTGAGTGTTGTCAGAGTACAGTTAAGAAATTCCCTCAGATAGAGATTCTTGAAAGTGAGATACATCTCATGTTCAGTAAAAAGATACATGTCATTGAAGTATCTTTTTGTTCAGGTAGAATATATGAAATCATTTTGAAAAAAACAGATGTGGCATTAAAATATCCATAAAATAGTTTGCGATATATTCAAAGGCTATGGCAATGGGAGTCTTCTCCACTTGTACTGCTCACATTATAGCCAGAGAAGTTAATACATTGTCACATTGACCTCATTATTAACTAACAGTTTCCTGTTCTGGACTGGAGGATCTGCACAGTGGACTATTCGATGGTGAGGGTGGCTGGCCTGTGCAGTGGAATTAAGATTCGGCAGAGATAAACAAGGGAAAGTGAAACCAGGCCAGGTAAATTTACTACTCCAATGTAAGGAAGATTAGGAATACCCGGTCCCTGCTAATGTAAGCATCATTCAATTTCTTACTGACTGCTTTTCCCAAGGAGTTCAGGAGCATAGTTAACACACGGCTGAGCATTTAAGTACAGATGTCTTCTCAGGTCTTGATCCAGCATCAATCTGTACCACTGTCTCACAGAAATGCAAACAGCAGAGAAAAGAAAGAATAGATTGTAAAAAGAGAAATGAGGGAACGAGTGTTTGGGGAGACTGGGAGGATGAGCACTTATATTAATCTTTTCAGGGTGTATTATAATAAACCTGTGCCATAAGACAGGGAACACAGAGACTCTGTTTAAAAAAGACAAAGAAAAGCACAACCTTCTTTGAACCTTCTGTACAACATCTAATTGACTGTTTTATGAGCCAGAGAAAAGTATTTTTCTTCCAAGCCTTACAACGTTTTTAAGTCGTTTGTCTCGCTTGAAAATATTATTTTAGCCCTTTTGGTTACCTTTGCTGTTGGACTTTTTATACAAGAGTACAGCATGGGTTGTTTGGTATTGTGGGATAAGAAAAGACCAGACAAAGAAGATGAAAGCTTTGAAAATAAATAAATGAAAGACTGATATAGAAGTGCCAAGAGCAACACACAAAAGCTGCAAAGCAGGGAGCAGCAAATTTTCTTCAGGATGGTTGCAATAGATTTTCCATTGACATGTCACTCAATCACAAAAGTCTTTGTAGAATATCAAAAAAGAGAAATGAAATTGACGAGATGTAAATTGTGGTATTTGATTTAAGCACCTGGAGGACCGTGATAATTTCACCTTCTAGCTCTGTGTGTGTTCAAAGCATGTTGTGCCCAGATTAGGCAGGAAAAAGTAATCGTCAATTCTCACAGCAATAGCAATGAGAGGAGTGTTGACAAAAATAATAATAATCACCTAATTTTTTCTTTACGAAATGGAATAGCAATTTACAGGATTGGAAGCTTTGATGGAGATTTGCAGCCAGCGCCTCTGTATGCCGTCTGGCATGGTTCCAAATAGTTCACTCGCTCATTTGCACAACAGTAAAGCTGAATTTCCCCCAGCTGAAACCTCACCGCCACCACCTACACCATGCCAACACAAATAAAGGGCAAAAAACTGCCAAATTTACTGTAGTAAACACTCTGCAAAGGGAATGACAGTAAAACCCATGCTTCCTGATGACAGCTGTTCTGAAAGGTCAGCACTGCAGTGCTGAGCCACTGGACTGCTGTCTCCAGCTGGCACCACTGTCTGTGGAGGGACAGAGCGCAGGAGAGGCCTTCCGAAGTTGCAGGCCCGTGGGGAGGCAGGGGCTCGTGTCTCCCACAGTGCGAGGCTCATAAATACCACGCTATCCCTGATAAGCCTGCGTCTCGAAAAGGTCACACATCACCTTCTGCCCTGTCCTTGCACCAGCGTCTGATACATTCGTTTAAGAGAAGGTTGGTCTGACATAAAAGAATCATCATGAGACAATTTTGTCAAAGTTTGTCTATGAAGAAATATTTGTTTTCAAAGCTCTACTGTGACAAGTGTCCACCACCGTGTACTATACTAAACCCAGCTGTCTAAATTTTCCAGTTTTCCCACTAAACTTCCTTGCCCTTTATGTGTAGATACCAGCATTGATCATGAGCATCTGTATCAGATGGTTCTGTGATAGTGCCTGCTGTTTTGTGCTTGGTCATTTCTAACGAGCGTATTAGTTCCATGACAAAGACTCCTCATTCTCGGGTATGGCATATCCCACTGAGCAAAACATACTAACACCACAGCCACTG